CTCAGTCACAACACGGGGACCAAGAGCGCCACCGGGGAGGAGAAGGGGAGCCCTCAGGGTCTGCCCTGACGCCGGAGCCCCGAATTGGTGTCTGGGAGAGGGGACCTCCGGAGGGGACGCTGACTCTCGCAGGCGGGGGGGCCCTGGAGCCCGTTGTCCTTCCCCCGCTGGCAGCTCGCCACGCTGCTCACACTACGCCCCGACCTTCGTGGGCTCCGTGCACCTCGAAAGAGAGGAGGACTTGCGGGGGCGGGGCAGACAGATGAGCCCCACCACCCATGCAGGAAGCTGGGGTCCTTGTCACCTTGCCACGGTCCCTTTTCAGCTTCCGCCCAGAGAGAGGGCTGGAATACGGCAGCGTTGACCCCTGCCCCCACATCCTTCTCCTGGAGAGAGTGGAACAAATGGAGTTGTTGGGGGTCCCCCCCATCAGGTGAGGCAGCAGACGTGGCAAAACTCAGAGGCCCTGGACTGTCGTTACCAGGTAGTTCAGGTAAGTAACTCTGCCCCCGTTTCCTCATCTGTAAAATGGGGGTGCTGATGTCTGCTGCTGGGAGGCATTAGGGGCTGGATGTAGGACCCGGTGCAAGTGGCGGGGGCCCTTGTTGATAAAGTATTAAGTTGGGGCGGCAATCGTTATCATTAAGGGTCATGACACAGGCCCTCTGTGCCCGCGCGGGTCACTGCAGGTGCCACAGACGGACAGGTGCCTCCCAGGCCGTGCACATGACCGAGGGAAAGAATGAAGCTCAGTGAGCTGGGAAAGGGGCCCGATATTTCCTAGAGATGGTGGCTGGGCCTGGCCAGGCGTTGGGGAGGGGACCCCTGTGGAGCCACAGCAGACCCAGATTCCTGCAGCCGCAGTCTTGCCCGAGAAGGTCCCAGGGGGACGGCCGAGGGCAGGCCCGGCCACCCTGGTGAGTGAAATCAGGACGGGAAGCGCCCGGCACCCGGCTGTGGGGGTGGGAAGAGGTGGTGAGCAACACCCCTGCCCCCATCCCGAGTTCCCACAGCGGGTGCCTGGACGGATGCTGGTAACCATGACGACGGGAGGCGTCGCCATGGCGGCGGTGCCTGTCCTCAGGGTGGCTGGTTTGGAGGTGGGAATGCAGTCTCTCCTCCCCCTCCTCCCACCTCGCTCCTCCCAAAGAGGCGACTTCCCCGCCATCCCCGAGCACCCTCGGTTCAGTTCCTCCGCGTGCTGGGGGAGTTCTTCTGTTTCAATCGCCACCCTCCTCCCGCTGAGCCGCAGGGCTGTGGGCTCCTCCTGGCCGGTCCCGCTGCGAGCCCGGAGCACCCCGCAGCGCGCCGAGGCCGGGGAGCCCCATCCAGAGCCGACACACCTCAGCTTGGGGGTCCCCTCCTGCGGGGCACACACCCTCCACGAGAGAAGGCAGGAAAGGAAGACAAGGAGGTGCCCACAGCATCCGGAAGGCTCCGAGGCAGAGATAAGGCCGGAGCAGGTGCCAGCGGGCTGGACGGGCAGAGGAAAGTCACGCCCCTGCCCCTCGGTGCCCGGCGCCCGGCTGGGCGTCCCTGGCCGTCTCGGTGAATTTTCACAGGCACCTTTCACAGATGGGTTTCTTGTCCCCGTTTCTCAGATAATAAGGAAACAGGTGCAGAAAAGCCCAAGAACCTGCCGGGATCCACAGAGCAAGAGGCAGTGCAGAGTCGGAATCTGAACCCGGTGCTGCAGCAGCCCGATCGGGCCACCCCTGCGTCCCCTGCCCGCCCCATACCGTGGGCCGTGGCCCCTCACTCCTACGCTCACAGAAGCCGGCCCCACGGGGGAAACGCACCCAGAGTGGAGAAGGCTGGGATGGGCCTTGGCGTGGCATGTCGCGTGGCTAATATATTCCCGTTAAATAAATACATTTTGCTAATTGGATTACTCAGACAGAATAATATACTACTGGATTTCCAACATGATGCTAATAAATTGCGTGAAGAACTTAATCACGTTAGCATCCCGAAAGCTTGTAAGAGATGAAATGAGAAAATCAGGCGAAGTTGACACCCAGGGCTTTCCGGAAGGTTCCCGAACTTGCGGGGCTTCCGAGAGCTTCCCTCTGCCGGGGTCTGCAACGTGGAGGCTGCTGCTGCTGTGTTGGGGGGTTGGGGGGGCTGGGGGGCAGGCGAGGGAAGAACGGGGGTGTTCAGCCAGGAAGTGAGTCACTGTGCCGGATGCCAGGTCCTGGGTGGGGAAGGAGGAAGCTGAGGAAGGGTCCCCAGGCCAGGGCCACAGCGGCCCAGCGCCAGCCCTCACGCGCCATTCCATCAGCACAGGCCCGCCGGGTGCAGAGGGCCAGGGCCGGGTGGGGCGGCCTGTGGCCCCCTTCAAGGGTGCATGCGAATGGCACCAGGACCCTGCACGCTCCGCTCCTCCTCCCGGCAGAGACTCACTCCCGCAGGTGCCTTTTAGGAAGTGCGTGCCCACCCACCGTCCCCTGCGCACAGGGAGCCGCTGCGGGTGCACGGTGGCCGCAACTCGGGGAGGAGGAAGGGAGGGCAAGGATGGAGCCAGGCAGCCAAGAGACAAAGCCAGGGTGGCCTTCAGGTGTCCCCTTCCTGGGAGCTCCAGAGACAGGCGGCCTCCCAGTCCGGACATTCCGAGTTTCATTAACACCGGGATGGGCTTGAAAGGTGAGGCCGGGATTTCCGAGCTCATCGCCTCTCCCGCCTTCACACCTGGGCTCCCGGCTCCCAGGAGGGAATGCGCCGTGGGCGAGGCCGCGTGCTGCAGAGTCCACGAGACCTGCCTCCCCAGGCACGCGGTGGCCTAGCACGGGCAGGCCAGGCAGCGCGCAGACTCACACACCCGAGATCAGCCCCCAGACGGGAGCGACTCTTCAGCGACAACCAGGACCTCATTAAAATAATAGCTGGCTTCTGTGGCAGCTTCCCAGGTAGTAATGCAAATGTTTTTTCTGACTCTCCAGGTTCAAGAGCAACAGCTTACACAAGTCTAATTACCATAACAAAATCCAGTGAGGAAGAGGGAAAAGTGCCTCTTGTTTGATGCTTCCTAGTAATTAGCAAGAACGACGGCATCCAGAATCTCCGGCCCCCAAAGATGCCCGGGCCACACTTGAGCACATCGGGAGCCAATTTAGAGAAGCCAAAATAAGGCCATTACGTGCCACGCTCGCCCCGAGTGTGACACACGTGTTTGCAAGCAGCACGCCCGCCCACGCCGCCGCTCTCAGCGGGTCCGCGCTCACGCACCTGCCCGCACGCCCCTCGCCCAGGCGCCCCTTCGTTCTGCAAATGTCTGTGCCCGGGCTCTCTGCTTTGCTCGGGAGAGGCAAGGGTGAGGGGGGCAAGGTCCCTGCCCCCAGCAGTCTTGCTCGGTTTTGTTCAACGTGCATTTCGCGCCGGCCTCTGCCTCCCGTGAGCCTGCGCCGGGTGACGAACCTGCGTCAGAGGGGAGAACACGAGTGTCACCTCCACTGGGGACACATCCTGGGTTTCGCAGCCTGTGCTCGGCTCCAAGGGTGGGCGGCAGAGAGGGGGCCGCCCTCCTTCTGGGGCGAGGGGACCACAGGGAAGAATTGCAGAAACAGAACCCTGTGGTTTGCGCCCTTAAACTTCGGAGCCGGGTTTGAGGTTGGAAAGGAGCTGGCCGCCGGAGTGGCCGGCTAGAGGTGAGAAGGACGGAAAGATTACGCAGGCCCCGAGAGATAAAGCCACCAAGGTAAGAAAGAGGAGGGGACTCTCAGGGATGGGGCGGCGGGGAAGAGGCACGGCAGCTGTGAGATGGAAGGAAGGGCGCAGCGGGAGACGGGGCGGAGGAAGCAGGTGGCCGAAGGTGTCACAGCAGGGCTCGGGCTGGGCCTGCGGGGCAGCCACCGCGGGTGGAGAAGGGAGAGGCGGGTGGGCGGGAAGAGGCCGGGCCCCCTCAGCGAGCCCGGGAGGATGCATGTCCTCTCCAGGCGGGGTGGACGGCCCCAAACCCCAGAGAGAAGCTGACTGCCTGCACATGGGTGGGGGAGGGGGAGGAAGTCCCAAATGACCACGTGGACTTGAAGGCGGGGAATGGGGTCCAACGTGGATGAGATGGCTCGAGCCAGCTCAGTGGGACGACCCTGGGAAGAGCCACCCTCTCACCTCACTCACTCACGGGGACCACGGCCTCTGCACCCAGCCTGCGTCTTCTGTCCAGATCTGCACCCCTGCCGTCACCCCGATACCCACGTGCAGACAGAGCCCGGCCCCCCACCCACCGCCCGCAGACACACGAAAGGCGTGGGGCAGGGCTGAGCTCCGCCCACCCCGTTCTGGGCTGAAGGGGACCCGGGCCACCCGCTGCGGCCCTGACGGTTTGCTCAAGCTGACGGCACCGGCACCCGTGCAAGCCGAGACACTCGGGCACCTGCCTCCCTCCCACAGCCCTTGGGCACCGCGCCGAATCCCCGCCCCGAGCCCTCTCGCCCTCCACCGGCCAGGCCCAGCACCGGCCCCGGCCCACCTCCCGGCTCGGGCGGCCTGGTCCCGCCGGGCCTTCCGAGAGGAGACGCCTCACTCGGCGTTCCCGTCTGGAATGTCGCTCACGGAGGGTAGTTCACATGATCAACTTCCAGAGCGGAAGTTGGAACTTAAAATGACTCTATGCCCCCACGGTCCAGGCTGATTCCCCCCGTCTCCCCTCTCTGGAGGCGGGCGGGAAGGGAGCGCGCGCGCTGCCGGGCGGGAGGCACGGTCCGGCCATCCCGGGCCCGGCTCGGGCCTACGCAAGGAACTCGGTGTGAATGAATGAATGAATGAATGAATGAATGAATGAATGAATGAATGAATGCATGCATGCGTGACCCCAGCAGTCCCCTACCTCCTGGCTCTTGCCCCAGGGAGGAGGCGTGTCCGGCACGTTCTCGTGAGCAAGCACCGCAGCTTCCATCACCACGGGGTGTCCCGCAAGCATCGCGATGCTTCTGCGGTCTAGACGGGAGTGGAAAATCCCGGTTTCCTTAGATTTCCCCATTGCTCCCTTTTCCCAACCCGTTGGCCACTTTTTACTCTCCCCGAGCCGTGTTCTTGGCATGACCTTCTGATGACGCCTTTCCGGACACAGCAAGGGAGCCCCAAAGCCATCTGAACGCCGTCTCTCACTCACCCTGCTCCCGCAACTTGGGGTGCAGGGGGCCCGAGGGGAAGCCTGTGGGGGCCAGGGGGTCTGAGCCCTTTGTCCCGCACCCCGGAGCCTTGGCTGCTCTGCCAGCGCTGCAGGAATCGGGGGGAAATGTGGAGAAGTGACAGTTACAGACGCCAGGCAGCGATGTAATTGGCTGCAACTGGAGGTAAGATGCTGTGAGCAATTTAAACCCCAGGCTCCAGGTTGGGATCGACAAGCAGGGAAAAGAGGAAGGGAGGGAGGGGAGCGGAGTGGCGGGCAGTGGAGAAAAGGGGAGGGGAGGAGAAGGCAGGGGTGAGTGGAGGGGAGACAGAGGCGGCAGGGGGAGAGGACAGAAAGCAGAGTTCCGGGCAGAGGAAACGGCAGGTACGAAGGCTCAGTGGGCCGGGAGAGCTCCCGGACACCTGTCCGACGGAGTGAGTGGCAGCAGGTGGCCGTGCACAGGCAGCCGACGGAGGTCTGCGCAATATTGTGCCGGCCCAGCTCCTCCCTGCTCATGAGATCCGATTATTAAATTTTCAGAAATTTCATGAACGGGCTTTTAAACCGGGCCATTTAAAACAATAATTTATATCAACTTACAACTAAACAAATTGTATTTAAGCCAGACACGGTGGCACACACGTGTAGTCCCAGCTACTCGGGAGGCTGAGGCAGGAGGATCGCCTGAGCCCGGGAATTGGAGGCTGCAGTGAGCTGTGATCGCACCAACATACTCTAACTTGGGCGACAGGGCGAGACCCTGTCTCAAAAAGAAAAATGAATTAAATTAAATTGATTTAATTGAAAACAGTGGTAATAAAAACTCAAAACTCTTTCCTTCTCAATTATTGCACTGCATCTTGTTGTTAGGTACGCTCTTGCGGTAATTCGTAGTTTTTGTGTTTGCGCGGTGGAAATGTCATAAAATGGCGGCCACGTCTCTTCCCAGTGACGTGTTCCGAGACGCCGTGTTGTTAGCGTGAAATTGGTAATAGCAGGAGCGTTTGCACCACAGAAACTGGCAAGCTGCACATCAGGGCTGTATCTGCATGGTTTTGTTGAAGGTCTAGACTTAAGAAAGTGAGGACAGAAATGTTAAAAATACAGATCCAGCTTAAAACAGGCTCGTGGCCATTACGCGCTGAAAAGGTTGCCAAATTATGGTTGGGGTGCAACCACAGGCTGCTGCAGATTACAAGAGTTCAACGAAGATCAGTGGAAGCATCAGAGTGAGTATCTATTGGCTGTATGGGAAGTACAGCAAGGAATATTGTACATTTCATTGTATTGTTTGGAAATTGGTGCCACACACCCTTTGTATCAGTAAGATTCACACACACACACACGTATGTTTGTTTTTCCAGAGCGGGCTGTCAAACATCTGCCCTCGAGCCACGGCCTGGAAGCCACTTTCGGCTCATGAGCTCCACCTGGACTAGCAGCGTGGGGCCCTTCACCAGGACGGAAAGCACACGGGGGTCTGTCACGGATTCGGGGTTTGGACGCCGGTTACAGGTGAGAAGAGACAGGAGCCGAGAGCCAGGAGGCAGGGAGACCAGCGAGGACGCCTTGAAACACGGCCCAACGCCACGTGTGAGCAGCCGGGAGCAGGGACGAGTGGGTGCTGGGTGGGCAACGGGGCAGACGCAGCTGGAAGGCCCTGACACAGCCCGGTGCCCGCTCCCTCAGCCCCAGGGGCCTGGCCTGCCGGGTCTTGGTGACAGCGAGGTTGTCCCCAGGTCTGTGGCTGCTCAGAGCCATGCCATCGCCACCCAGACCCAGGGTTGACCTTTCTTTGCAGGTGAATCAGGGCGTTGCAGAACACGGCTTCCACTCCAGGCAGGTGGGCCAGTTGTCCTGTCACCTGCCTCAGTTATGCTCAAATTCATTGTTTCACTTGACCCCTGTGACCTTAACAGGTGCACAGAAGCCATTTCTGAATTAGTGTGGGAACCACACGCGTCCAAAGGCCACACTCCAGACTGGGCCGCTGCAGCCTAAGACGAGCCCTCGCCTCCCTCCCAACTCCGCCCGACGGAGCCTTCCGGAGGACATCGAAGCTGGCAGGGCCGCCCGATGTTCAGGAGCGCCTCCTTCCCGGCGGCTGTTCACCGGCTGTGGGGGCCCTGCCCTGCGCCCGGACGCAGCGAGAGCCCAGCGCCCGTTGGCTGCACTGTCGGAGGCCCCTGCATGGCGCCCTGGCTGCGCCCTTCATCCCTTTGGGCTCAGAACCCGCCACGGCCTCTGAAGTGCGGAAGACAAGACGGCCGCAGGCCTGCCGGGAACAGACCCTGCAAGGGGAAGCACGCTGCCCAAGAAACACGGGCAGTGCTCCTCGCATCACCTGTGGCCTTTCAGATATGTGGAACACTGGCCGGGACAAAAATGTCAGTTTTTAAATGATTTGCACGCCAGGGTATCCAGCCATCAATTGAGATGCATGTGAGCGGCTGTTGGCGCCGCCAGGGCGATCTGGGAGTCCCCGGCCAGACCCCGCTGGTGGCGGGGCAGGAGCCATCACTGCGGTGGCCCAGCGGCACCTGCAGGACCTGTCTGCTCAGCACCCTCGGCAGGAGGGTCGAGGGGCTCCTTCCTGCAAGGTGTCTTTGCGTCCCCGGAGCTGATAAATAACTCTTTCTGGATGCGTCTGCCGAGCCTGCACTTTTAGCTCCGACACACGGCGCGTGAGCCCCGGGCTGCCCGGCTCCTGTCCCCGCTGCGGCCCCAGGTGCTGCTCAGCGAGGGGACGGCAGGTGCCGCCTCCCCTGCCCGCCCCGTGGGCCCAAGGGGAGGACTGGCACGTGGCAGGATTCGGGATGTTCACCCGCACCAGGGCATTCCCAGCGTCAGCCAGTCGGCACCTGCAGGGGCCCAGTCAGGCAGCCCGCAGCCCCCTCCGCTCCTGCCCAGCCGGAACCGGCCTGGCCCACGCCGGCAGGCGCCGTGTGTGCAGAACACACGCTGGTCTCCAACGCTGCCGTGAAAGACATGCGCTGGCTTATTAACCGTCTTTCTACCGATCACACGTATGAATGACAATGTTTACAATAGGTTGGGTTAAATAATACATATTATTAAACTTCGCCTTTTTTTTTTTTTTTATGTATTTCTCATGGCTGCTGGAAAATGTGAAATTGCAGAGTGGCTTGCGTTGTAAGTCTGTCAGAAGAGCAGCGACAGGCCAGAGACCTCCCTGGGTGTGGGAAGGGTGGACGGAAGAGAAGGCCCTTCCGTGCCCTGGGGTTGGGTGGGGGCTCCCAAACTCATGGGGGAGGGGGCAGTGCTCCCACGAGCACCTGTGCAACACCCCCTTTCAGGGACCGTCTGTGTTTTCCAAGACAGCTCGGACAAGGATGGGCTGCGACACGCTTTGTTATCCGGCATGCACTGATGTACCTGGAGACAGGTAGCGGCAGCAAGGGCCCCTGAGCACCCCTTTGCAAGGGAGCTGGGGACCTCGGCAGGGAGCAGACAGAGGGCATCCACCCCCCCACCAAGGACTGGTGGGGCCGCCTGGGCGATGCGCAAACCTCCCCTCTCCCGCAGTGTGTGCTCGGGTCTGCCCCTGGCCGCTGCGCAAACTGGCACCGAGGGCTGCTCCTGGCGAGCGCAGGTATCTGCTGACACATTCCAGGTGGCCTCTAAGCCAATGCGGGTATAACCCAGCTTCCACCACCACCAAGACAGGCCGTGGAAGGCGCTGGCGCCCCCACCCCTCTGTGGCCGTGGGACGGTGTTGCCACCAGAGCCATCCTGGGTCTATTTCACGCGCACAGGAGGAGAAAGAGCATCCCGGGGCCAGGGCGCGGGGCGCGGGCCGGTCCACTCGCCTGGGGTCCCCGTGCGTCTGACTCCGTGCTGGGTGCTGAGGATTCACGGTGAGTATGAGTCACCCCGGACAGTCCCATACTCGGACCGTCCCAAAGGCGTCATCCATGAGGGATCACAGGAGGTCCCTGAGGCTCCTGGGGGCAGCTGGCCCAGCCTGAGGATTTGGAAATGCGCAGGGAGGAGACGGGGAAACCCGTGTCTCGGCTGTTTAAAGGACTCATTATACGGACACAGAGGAAAGAGGTGGGAAGGGCATTCTAGGCAGGGCATCACAGACATGAGTCCCAAGGAATGTGACAGGGTCGTCTGTGGGAGGTCCGTGGGCAGGAGACAGCCGACCGCAAAGGCCAAGGCAGGGAGTGGCAGGAGACAAGGCTGCAAGAGTAGATGGGGTGGGGGGAGGGCAGGAGGAGCCTTGAATGCCACACCCAGGAACTGACCCTTCTCCGACAGGTGGCGGGCGCTACCGCAGGCTCTGAGCTGGGCAAACGGGTCAGACTTAGACCTTCCATAGATGACTCCGGCAGTCGGGGCGTGACGGAGGATTAATGCCAAAGGCTCAAAGTTTGGGACCCGGACTCAGACGTGGGTGGGTATTAGGAACAGAAAAGGGGCAAAGGTCCAAGAAACATTGAGAAGACGCAACTGGCCAGACTGGGCGCTGAACTCAACGTGGAGTTGGGGGGCCGGGCACGTGTCTCCCAGATGTGGGTGCTCATCTCCAGGTAAGAGGAAGCACAGGTGGCCTCGGACAGACCCCACAGGTAGAAGCAACATCCTCCGAGGCTGCCTCCCTGGGCCCCAGCAGCCTCTCGGCCGCCCCCCAGCTTCCTGCTTACCCCTCCCGGGCAGTCAGGTCAGCCCGGGGCAGGGGGGTGACTCCGGGCTGCCCCAGGGAGAAGGTCAAACCCGGCTAAGTAACTAAATAAAGATGTGATTGCAACGCTGATTAAACCGAAGCACCTCATTAATTTCATGTGAGAGGTGGGGAGACACAGGACGGCACTTCCCGAAACGCGCTGTTTGCCCGGCCCCGAGACATCCACGCGCGCGTCTGGTTGGGTCTAATGTAAGCATGTACATTTAATGGTTCAGTAAGTAAGAGTGCCTTTATTGTTTGGAATGGTTTGTGCGGTGATTTATGGGCTCGGCTGTGCCTCTGATGGGTCCCTGTGACGGAGCAGGTGACAGCCCTGGCGGGGTGTGCATGAAGAACCCGGGGACGGCGAGGGAAAGACGCAGCCCTGCAGCCCCGAACGTCGTGCTCCAGGCAGCAAGGACAAGGACAGACTGGTGGACGCCACCCCGACCAGGACAGGCCAGCTGCACACACCCAGGACGGCGGCCACCCCGGACACACTGGAGGACCAGGGGCCGGGAGCCCAGTGCGCCCTCGACCCTTTAATCCTTGGGGCTAAAGTGCATTACGGTGCAGCTCGGCATAGAGAAACTGGGAAGAGCCAGAGCACTCAGATTGGGCAAAAAGCGAGGCATTTTTCTACCCACTTGCCCCGGCAGCCAGAACACCACTCACTCCCCACCTACCTTCTGACCCAGCCTGCGTCCTGGTCCCCTCCCGGATCCTGGCAGGGAGGGGTTTCCGCCAGCCCCTTCCCCGGCAGGCACTCCACGCCCTGCCTTCCAGGGCGGCTGGGAAGGGGAAGCCGTTGTCCCAGGTGCCCTGAGGCCGGCAGTGGGGAGTGGAGACGGCCACACAGGCTGGCCCAGGGACGGTCCTGAGCCAGGCTGAGCAGGGCCAGCACTGGGGAGTCCAGCTGGAGGACAAGACGGGGGTCTGGAGGGGACCCCGTTTGTCCGTCTCCCTTTGGACGATGCAAGTGCACAGCCCTGAGAGGGTCGAGGTCTGGGAGGCAGGGCTCGGGGCACCTCCACACGCGATGGACTCGGGGTGGGAGGACAGAGGCGGCTGCAGTAGAGACTCGATGCTTTGTTGGCCGGGATGCCCGGTGCACAGCCCCGGGCCCACACCCCAGAGCGGAGGAGGGAGAGCGCGGGACTGCAGACCGTTTGGTGCCGTTGGTCCATCCTCTGCTGTTCTTTTCCACCTCCCTGCTGCTTTTTGAGCCACTGCCCCAGCCACCCACTGCCAAGCAAAGCCAGCAGGAAAATTGGGTAGAGAGAGAACCATTTGTCGCCCTGCTTTGGCTGCCTAACTTCTACCTGGAGAGCAGAGCAAGCGCCGTCGACGCTGTGTGCTGGGCCCATCAGACGAACGCCCGGGGGTGTATCCCGCGTGCTGAGCCACCGCCGACAGAATAAGAAACTGCGCTAAAATGAAGCTGCCTCCGTGTTTACTTCCAGCCCACTTTTCCCAGTGGGGCGACGAGCCCGCCGAACAGACTGACGATGCCGAACTCTGCCATTGTCCCGTCCAGCAGTGACAAGGACCACAGCTAGCCACCGAGGGCTCGCCGTGCACCTGGGTCCGTGCGCGTCGCTTCCCACGCGCGGCGTTGGTCCAGGAAGCTATCCTCACCTCCCCCCAGGGAGCAGACGCCAACACGAGGAGTTGAGTGCAAGTCATTTTAATTGGGAGGACAATCCAGGACTGGGGACACGAGACGGGGACAGGACGGCAGCCAATAGACACGCCTGATTCGTGCAATTAGCGCCGTCAGCCACTGGCGCTCCATCCCACGGGGAACCCCGCAGCCTGTGTGACCCGGGTTGCCCCCAGGGGCCTTAACTCATCGGCAGCTCTACCTGGCGGGCTCCTGCCTCTGGGAGCCCCAGGTGTCACCGCACACAGGTGAAGATGAGGGCCACGGCAGGGGACTCACAGGGTCTGCAACACCGTTCCACAGACCGGAAAGCAAAGCTCTGCGGGAAACTTGGCCAAGGCCGTGCACCTAACGGCAGCCGGGACCCCAGCCCAAAAGCCCGACCCTCCCTGGCCGTGTCAGAGCCTCCTGCCTGGCGACCCTCCCCGCAGAGCCGGCCTCTGTGGGTTCCCCGTGGCACTGCGGCTCCCAGGTGGGCGGGTCTGCAGCACTGCCTCGGTTAGCACGTCCCCTCTGTCACCCGTCCCGAGGAGAGGCACCACAGCAGGTCTACAGCACCTCGGGCAAGGGCTGGGTAAATGGCAAGAGGTTGATCTTGCAAGTCCTGTGTCCTGTCCACGCAAAGGCAGGAGGATGAGTTCCCTGAGCAAACAGTCCTGCTGGCGGGTGTGGGGAAGGGGGTGTGAAGGGGGGGTCCTCGAACCCTGCGGCGGGGTGGAGCACGGTGGGACAGCAGCTCGTAAGATGGAAGGAGCTCGGCAGCTCCCCGACAAGCTCAACACAGAGTTGCCACGTGACCCGCGATTCCGCTGCTAGCACTAGGCCCCCCAAAATGCAAACGGTGTCCAGGCAAAAGCTCCTACGCAGGTGTGCACAGCGGCTTATTCTCGGTGGCCGAAAGGTGGACAACTGGAAGGCCGGCACCTGACGAGTGGACAAAACGGGGTGTCCACCACGCCGCGAAGTAGTACTTCAGCCGTGAGCACCAACGGCGTGCTGACGCACGCCGCGGCACGGGCGAGTTTTGAAGACGGTGTGCTCGGTGAGAGAAGCCAGACACAAAAGGCCACATGCTGCACGTTTCCAGTGGCAGGAAATGTCCAGGACAGGTAAATCCACAGACAGAAAGCAGATGGGTCAGTGGTTTCCGGGGCAGGAGCGAGGTGTCCCATCACTGCTTCATGGGCGCGAGCTCCCTGTCGGGGCGAAGGGAATGGTTTGGAACTAGGTGGGGTGGTGGCTGCACAACCTCGCGAACGTACTGAATGCTACCAAAGTGTCACTTTAGAGTGGTCAAAGTGGTAAATTTTATATAATGTGCATTTTATCACAATGAAAAAAAAATAGCTCCCCTACCCCCAATCCCCAGAAGAAGAGAGACCTGACGCTGAGATTACAAACATTCGCTGCCATAATCCGAAAGGGTCAGTTAAGAGACTCGTGCGCCACCGGGACTCTTCTTCCCGCCCCGCACGGAGCCCGGGAAAAGCTGGCACAGAGAACGGCGAAATAACGGGGCCCGACAGCTGCGGGAGCGCGGCCGGCTCCCGGGCTCGCGTGTGTGTAACGGAGAGTCGACTCTCAATAAAATAATAAAACCCGGGAGCGATGGGCATGAAGTCACCTCCTCAGCCAACTGCCGGGACCGCATCCATAAAACAGCCGCTCCCTCTTTATTCGCCCGTTTTATGGCACGAGACGTGACGGTAGCCAGGCTGTTCCTGAGCTTCCAGGGAAGGTGATCGTTGTCAATCAAGATGAAAAATGTCATAGTTTAAGCACGTCCCAGCCCGACAAGAAGGTCCATATGGTCTCTCAGTGGAGCGCGCGGGGCGGTGATTTACAGCTGTTCCACTTTGAGTTTTTTCGCCGACGCCTTCTTCCTGCGACGCTTCAGTGGGTCCTTTTTCGGTTGGCCGCTGCGCGAGTTGGCTCTTTTCACACTTTTCCTTCTCGCAGCGCGCGCGAAGGCACGGCGGGCCAACACACACAACCTCGCCAAAGGAACCAGGCGGCAGGGTTCCCGGCCACTGCGATGCAGCACCGCGAAGTTCTAGTGTCTGGGCCACCGGTTGTCCCTTGGCGAGTCTCCTGGGCCCGGGGAAAGGAAATGGGAGAAAGAGGCAGGATTCCCGCCCAGAAAACCCCGGAGGAAGAGAATCACAGGCCCAAGCAGGACCAGGCTTTCAACCCTGGAGTGCCGGTGAAACAGAGCTGATCTGGGCTCCTCCCTCCCGCTGCCGCCCGGACCTTGCGCCCTCCCCAGCAACTACAACCCAACTCCGCAGTCTGAGGGGTCCCTGGTGTCTGGTTGCTGGCTGTCACGTGGCTGAGCTTTTTTGTCTTATATTTGGAGGTTTTGTTTGTTTGCTTTGTAAGGATGCTTAAGCGGGAACGGGTAGTAAGGTGGCCATGTACTTTTGAGGTTGCCCTGGACACCAGGAGATAAGAGATGCCCTTGAAGCTGTGCCCAGCCAGGCTAAGGACCCACGACACGCCGTTGCCAGAGGGGACTGTCATTCCAGGGCCCCCGCCCCCCGGTCGATACACACATGAACCGGGGCGCAGCTTTATGGGCTGGACCTGCCCCCAACACACACGACAACCCCCCCACCCAGGACACTAGAGGCGCCACATTTTCAGACCCCCAAAGCCAAGAATTAGAGGAGCCTGGGTTAGAAAAATCCTTGAGGCAGGACCACACTCGACTGACTTTGCAGAAGGTGCCCCTGCCAGGTCTCCCGCAGGGAAACCGAGGACGCTATCTGGTAAACACCCAGCATCCCCCGCCTCCTTCCAGGTCCCTGTGCCCGGGCTTAACCTCCTGCCTCCTGGGGATGCGCCGCTGAAGGCAGCTCTGGCTCCTCCTCCTGGAGCCTGCCCCGCACCACGCACACACGGGCTCGCACCCAGGCCGTTGTTTTTTGTTTTAAATAAACACCACCCGGCTGGCGCCCCAAGCCCACAGCAGGGCTCAGCTGCCTGCGGACAGCAGCCTGTCTCCCCCCACCCTCCCTCAGGTCCACTGGGCCAGGGGGCTGGAGTTTCCCCCCGAAAATCAGGAGACAGGGGAGGCTCCAGGAATGTCAGGGACAGCAGCAGGGACTGCGGAGAGCGTGTGCTCAACACCCCTGCACGCACGCGCACACACATGTCACATACAGGTCTAGCCCGCCCTGCCCGCAGGAGCCCCCCTGCGCCCCACACCTCGCTGCTTCCAGCCCGCCAACCCATCCCCTCTCCGCGGCAACACGCGGGCTGTTCCGCAGAGCTCCTTCTTTGTCTCCTCCTCCCCCTGCTTCCTTCCGAGAGCGGCCTGTGTTGATTAATATTAACGCTGCTCCTCCGACTGAGCCTCTTTCTCAACCGTTTTAAAGGGCAGCCCTTCTTTTCAGCAGGGGCAGTGATCAATTGATACCAAGCGGGGAAGGGGATCAATACAGAGGGTGGAGAGAGCGGGTCCAGGGGCTTGGGGAGGCTGGGTCTGGTCTTGTTTTCTTCCCCGAGCCTCTCCCCCTTTTCTGCCCAGACCCCGAGCTTCAGTCTCAACTGGAGGGGTCTCTGGGATGCATCACTGGGCCCCCCAGCCGCCCAAATGACCTTTAAAACAATGTGACAATCAGCTGGGCGGGACTGCCGCCCACACCATCCGCTAGTCCCGGAGCAGTCCCCTCCCCGCCCCTCCCACCTCTCTGAGCCCCCTGCCCCGGTGGCAGCCCCTCTCAATCAGGAAGCCAGCCTCCCGGGTCCCCTAGCTCCACCGGGGTGAGGGCCCTAGCCCTGGTCGCAGGAGGGTGACCCCCCCAGCTCTCCCCCTCCTCCGCCCCACCCCTTCCTCCCTGCTCTCCCACATCTGCTGTAACTGACATTTTCCATCTGACAGGTTCTGTTTTCCCTGCCTCCCGTTGCCAGGGAAACGAGCAGAGAGGACCGCAGCCAGGGAGCCGTTAGCTGCCTTTTCACGGCGCCCTGGACATCGCAGCCCTTTCCATGACGGGCGCTGGGCACGGAGGCTTAAAAAAACAAAACGACACTGAGGAGGTGGCGACAGTGGGAAAAAGTCAGTGAAAGGGGCCCCCCGTCCCCCGCCCCTGGTTAATGGGAGAGTGAAGGGAGAAAGAAAAACCGTACAGAGCCTCATACTCCTTTGGACAAAACCAGCCACCTTCCTGAAATGTCCGATTCTCTCCTTGATGCTCAAAAAGGTAGACACCTGGCCCCCAGCCCCCCACCTCCTAATGTCTTCTATGAGCCCAGACACCTCCGAAGCCACCCCTTGGCTGGCCACAGGGAGCACTGGCCCCACCGAGTCGCAGGGGACCGAGGAGGGCTCAAATCACCCTCAGGGATAGATGCTCTAACTAAGCGATGGCATCAGCCTGGGGTTTGGAGACCACGCGGGCCTATGTTTGGAGAAAGGCTAGAGGTTCTCGTTTCCTGGGGGGCGCTTGCTCCCAGGCCAGCGGAGTCGAGGTGCTGGGGTTCCAGGGAGAAGGGCTGAAGTGTTAGGCGGGGGAGAGGCCGGGGGAGGGGGGTATCCGCTTCTTCCAGAAAACCTGCCGGGTTGGGGAGACCGACATAGCTGCCACTCGTCCACGGGTCTTCTCAAAGCTGCCGGCTCCCCACCCTCACTGAGTGCGTGTGTGTGTGTGTGTGTGTGTGTGCTTGCATGTGTGCGTGTGTCTGTGCATGTGTGTGCACACGTATGCTCATGGGGGCCTAAACACTCGGTACACGGCGGGGGTCCCAGTGGGCCCCGCCCTGGCAGCGGTGGGACATGGACAGTGCTCATCCTGGGCCGCCACAAGCACCACGCCCGCTTCCTTCCACGCCCCCTCCCCTGCCCTCACCCCCCAAGCACACGCCGCCTGCCTCGGCCAGACTTTCCCATCTCACCCACGAACCTCTGTCCACCACCCCAAAGCCCTGCTCCTGTAGACCTTATTCTTCAGGGCTGGGGGTGCACCCAGGAACCCCAGAGTGCGCGTCCTCCCGAATCCCTGATCACTGCTAACACTGTTTACGGCCACTTGTCTGCGCAGCAGTGAACGTGCCCACCATTAGACTCGTCCGTAGCCCGCTGCTCGTGCTGTGCGGCCTCGCCACGCCCGGCTCCCGCCCCGCACTCTCGCCTCCTCTGTGCGGCTCCCCCCGGGCGTCCGCTGGTCCGTCCAACTCGTCAGACTCAGGACTGAGCTCAGTGTCCCCCCGCACTGGGCTGCTTCCCCGAGTCCCTGAGTCCAGCCTCAGGGTGGCCCACACCTTCCCCACGCCCCCACACACAGGGTCTGCCCGTCCCTCTGCGGACTTTGGGCTCCACTTCCTGAGTACCTCTGGCCCCTCCTCCCACCTCACCCCTCCTGAGCCGCCCCGGCTCCCCCTGCATTCCCTGAGAGCTGCAGTTGCCTCCTGGTCTGTCCCTGTCTCCCACCCCAACACACACACACACACACACACACACACACACACACACGTGCCTTCCCACCCCAGTCCCTGCTGCGGAGCCTCTAAGAGCCTGGCCCGACACCCTCGCCCTCACGTCTCGCCTTGGCTTTCCGGCTCCTTCTCCCATCCGCACCCTGTTCTCCAATTGGGCGGGCCAGGTGGGGCCCTGACGCTCTTTCACACCTCTGTGTCCTCATCCCAGGAGGCGCCACCTTCTTAACCCTGGTCAGCCTGGCACACGCCTGCCCACGCCCCGTGCAACCCTCTCCTGGCTGAAGGGTGCCCCTCCCCTGGACACCCGCCTCTTATGTCACACACAGCGACTTGGGTTCGGTCACAGGTCTGTTGCCCCCGTGGGTCCGGGGAGGACTCTTTGGGGGCTGAGACCTTGCCTTGCACCCCAGCACCCGGCACAGTCCATTGCATATCGCAGGCGCTCAAGAAAGGCTCTGTTTGTTTTTTGTCCTCACGGTGGGCCCCAGGAGGGGGAAGGAGAGCTCTAGAAGACCTCGGCAGCACAAGCTGTCGTCATCCTGAGCAACAGCCACACGGCAGGGGCACCCGGGCGCGCACAGGGCGACCCCCTGCAGGAAGGCGCAAACCGGCTAGTCCAGAGGAGGAACCCACTCTAAATGGACGTGTTGGAAACTCTCAACAGTGAAATGCTGGAAAAATTAAAAAGGATTAAAAATGGATTCAACTTTCTTTATTAGGAAGTATAGGCCGGGCGCGGTGGCTCACGCCTGTAATCCTAGCACTCTGGGAGGCCGAGGTGGGAGGATTGCTCGAGTTCGAAACCAGCCTGAGCAAGAGAGAGACCCCGTCTCTACTATAAATAGAAAGTAATTAATTGGGCAACCAATATATATAGAAAAAATTAGCCAGGCATGGTGGCACATGCCAGCTACTCGGGAGGCTGAGGCAGGAGGATCACTTGAGCCCAGGAGATTGAGGTTGCTGTGAGCTAGGCTGATGCCACGGCACTCACTCTAGCCTGGGCAGCAAAGCGAGACTCTGTCACCAAAAAAAGAAGAAAAAAAGTATAAAGAAGAAAGCAAGATGCTCATAACCCCACAGCCCAGACAGCCTTTTCTGGTATTGTCTAAAAAGCAGCTCGGCACAGCACACGCCCCTCAAAAGGCTGGTTCACGGCACCAGGCGGCACAGGTTAGGAGACGGCCTGTCTCCAGTTTGGTGAAATGAACTGGGACTGACTGGGAGGTGCCACAGAGGAGGTGACGAGGGAGCTGGGTCATGGCGCAGAGGAGACATCAGGTGAGGGGCAGCCTCCTTCCCAACCCCGGGGGAGGCTGGGTGGTCACACCCCGAGGGGGGCCGGGGAGGAGGAGGTAGGAGGGGGGAGGGTGGCGACCTCCGGGACACAGGTCGGGAGGCCCCGAGTGCTAGCGGTTCTCTGTCCAGGAGCCTGGGAGGTGATATTTGAGAAAAGTCCAGTTTGCTCACATCAGAGGAGACTGAGACAGACAGGGGACCGCAAGAAGGTGACTCGGCCGAGACTCAGAGGAAAGAGGAGGCTGAGATGGGCCTGGCCCCCTGCTGGCTCGGCTCTCCCTCCCCTCCCGGGCACAGAGCGGCAGGAGCGGGCGTGCAGGGGTGGGTGAAGCGGAAGGGAGGGTATTTGCACTCGGGGGAATAAGATGCAGACGAGTCCTGCTCTCAGGACCCCAGGGAAGTCCGTCTCGCCGTGGCTGGAGCAGAGGAACGGAGACCCCCTGCAGTGGCAGCCACCTCCCTCCTCCTGAGGTGTCCCCCCGGCCCCATGCTTAGTCTTCCTGCAGATTGTCCTACCCGGCTGTGGTCAGAGTGAGCGAGGGATTCGGAAATGGGCTTGGGTGGGGCCGACGGGAGCCGTGAGGTGCTGCCCAGGGCACAGTGGGGTCTCGGGGCGCTTCTCATACATTCAGCACAACGTGTCAAGCACCTCCTGTGTTTAAGGTGTGTCATTCAGTGTCTCATTGGATGAGGAGATGCGGCCCAGGGGGTCTAGGCGAGGACATGAGACCACACGCAAGTAACCCCACCCCGATTCCACGAGAAATGCTCCAAAACTACGGGGGATTTGGGGCCAATTGGAGTAGTACATTTCTTAGGGTCAGAATGAAACATTCAAGTATTACCCATAATATTTCTTTGATTTAGTTATACATTTTAAAACCTGTTACACGAAGCAATAATTTAGAAATATGGCTTTCTCAACCCCCATACGCTTTGTGAAATAACCTCTTTGTGTTCATCCTCAACTGAGCGTCCTCATTGCTGCTAAATCCTCTTTCGGGTCATTGAACAATTTTCAGAATTCATCATTTCGCTGGAAATTTTATTCTGGACGACAGGGGACCTTTCGCTTCATACGAGGACAGTGTTTCCTGGTGCTTTGTTTCATTCATTCATTCGTCCTGTAGGGGAACATTCATAATTTCTACAAGGTAGTTACTCATTGTATTGCATTTTAAAAGTCATGTTTATAACAGCATTGATTAAAGTCTAACAGAGCAAGTGTAAAATAATTCCTATTTTCTTAGGGAATTATTTTTAAACCTTGCCTTACATGAAAGTACACACAATACACATCTATGAATAAGTGTTTCCCTTCATCGGTTACAGCACATCCATACAGAGGAGTACTTTATACCCCTTAAAAACAAGAGAAAGCTTGAACGCAGAAAGATCTCTGCAGTATATTTCTGAATGAGAAGAGCAAATTGCAGAATAATATATCCAATATGGTTCTATGTTTGAATATATGCACATGTCAGTACTCACATACAATGATATCGATTAAAATATGTCATATTTTAATGACTCCAGCCTCCTCTGCAGCCGTTCTTATTGAGACTAGAAGGATTGGGAAAGCTTTCACGTTTTAATTCATACATTTCTGTCGTTCTGAATTTTTTAAATAAATGAATGTGCATTCCTTTTATAATCAGGAAGAAAAGAAAGTTAAAAACTTAAAATGAAGGAATGCACTGTGCCAAGTCTAAAATCACCAACCATAGGTTGCTCATCAGATCTATATGACAGAGTCCCAGATGCTTAATATTTGTGGATACATAAAAAATTCCGCTATATGAATAGTGCTGACTGGATCAATCTACAGAAAGTCAGGTGGATTTCCAAAATCAGAAGTAGACCTCTCTATGAATTAAAAGAGACAGTGGAGATCCTGGTGTCGTTCTTGGAAAGCCAGTGTTCACACGGTAAGCCCTGGACTGAGCCACGAGGACATGCAAACCTCAGGGCGCAGCAGCTCTTGCAGG